TATATATATATATATACAAGTGAGAGAGAGAGAGAGAGAGCTCAGCAGGTCCATATGTATGTAAGTCATATGTCCTAAACAGTTAATGCAATACTACTACTGCAAAGCTACTGTCCAAATACTTTGGTCCTAACTGTAACTCCTGAAAATGCATACATCTCATATTTAGATCATACTCAGTCCCTGCTGTTAAAACAGTCTCTATGTAGGTCTTTGTTCCTGTTATTAGTAAGAATGTTTTTGTCACGGTCTGGCTGGCAGACCGTGCGTATGTAGGGAATGAGGACCCAAGCGCGGAGCTCTGAATAACAACAGTGCGTTTATTTACAGTGTGGTAAATATTGATGCACAATTGATCCCCGTGCTCCCCAAGACTCCTGTGTGTGTCTTCCAGTGGCGTCCGTGTTCGTGCTCCCCGCTGTCGTGACTCTGCACACCCTGTGCGTGCTGTCCTTCCTCTCCACGTTCCTCCTGTAGGAAAACAATTGAGGCAGCTGTTAAACACTGACCCCCGCGGGCACACACGATCTGCACCTCCTAAACGCACACTGACATGGGAGACTAACGCAATGATCCCGCGTCGGTGGGAGCTCCAAGACTCTCCTAAGTAGCTCCCCCGATGAGCCCTGATCAGCAGCAGGTGTGTGGCTTCGGGTGAGGCCTGTCCCCTAGCAGGGCCACACCCACCAGGCCTGAAGGTGCCTGTAAACAAGAGTTCAGACACACCTGCACCCATCCACACACTCATATCTACAAACATGGAGAAGAGGGGCAGCAACACCAAAAATACATATAATATAACAAGTCCATAACTGCTCAGGGATCGGACCCTGACAGTTTTCTTTTTTTCAACATTAAGATTTGGCACTTGACTTACTGAGTCATTTAATATCTTTACGTTTAGACATTAATATGTTTACCTATTTTCTCACTTAACCTAGAAACAATCAGTCACTCTTACTAAATATTATGGATACATGAATGTCAGATTTTTGTAAATGTGTCATTTTAAATAAGTAGAAAAATTGAGTTGTTGCAATTTATCTTTACATAAATTGTAGTTCACTGTTGATGACTGTGGTGAAAATGCAGTCAGCTGTTAATCTATTGTTGTTTTGACAGGTTCACAGACCTGTGAGCCATTAGGAAAGACAGCTGAGCTCAAGCTACGACAATGCAGGTGAACATCTAGAGAAAAGGGAACAGAAAAGGGATCCTGTACGTCGCAGGTTACAGGATATTTATTGCTATAGATGAGGATCACTGTTAAAAGCTACAATATCAACCCCGAAGCCACACACCAGAATTATACATTAACCCTTTGATAAATATTCATGACGCCCTGCAGAGGTGCTATTACAACTCTCTATCTTTAGTGCAGGTATTGCACGTTAAGTGTTGCCTCAGAAAAGGATGTGGTTTAATGGAGATGAACGATAGTGTGGGGTACGATTTTTAAGGCATCAAAATAAATTCCACTTGTCATGTTGATTTTAACACTACAACACAACATATGTTTATTTTACTTTTGGGATCCTCACAGTCTTACCTTTAGCCAGAAATAAACTACAGAACTTCATTCAGCTGCTGTGTTTGAGTATTGTGCCTGTTATCTACAGCACCACTTTTGCGTTCCATACACTAACTTCACATGCTGGACATGCTGAGCTCGATTATTTACTTTTCTCAAAGAGAACACTGCAGGTCTGATATGAGCTTGTTCTGCACACGTGGCTCACAGACAGCATTCACACAGTGAACAATATCTCCATTTAATATACCAGTATTTAAAATGTAAATTCTGTAAACCTATATTCAAAGCTTGTACTTGAAGTGAGGCAAGTTACATTTTTTATGAGATTTATTGTGTGAGATTTTTGTTTATAAACAAAATAAATGTCTTTACTTTAAATGAATTTAACAAAAAGTAAAACACGAGATGAATAAAACACTTTTCATTTAGTGTGTGCAAGAAATTCCTTTTAACTTTAAAGATCACTGCTGGAATCATACACAGCAGCTATCCTGTAATAATAAAAGCATAGCTAGGAGCATATAACTAATATCCAAGTAAATCCAGGTTCATTTAGGTTCATTTAACCTCCCCACAGGCCCTGCTTTAAAATATATTCATGGACAGTACTTTGGTGTTTCAAGGTTGAGTTAAAGATACAGTAAAAAAAAAAAAAAGCTGTAACATTTCTCAGATTTTACATAAAAAGGCATAACAAAAAGGTTCAGCTGTACTTCTAAAAACATGATACAGATAATGTGAAAACATTTAAGACATATGAAATGTAATCAATATCTCCTGTTACTGTCACTTTGACTCTCCAGTGCTATTTGAATTTTGACTACACCCTAGCTGCAACAGGTGTGCTGTTCCCACTATAGGCACACAGTTATCGTGCATCTACTGTGCAAGTTTGTTAAGCCCCAGCCTTTTACTTCTAAAATGTCACTGAACCACCAGAGAGACAACAGAAAAGGGCAACACAATATTTATGTTTATTAAACAGAACAATTTTGTCAACCAAGGAAAAACAAAAGAAACAAAGACAAGAGAAACTGAACTGGCTACCAGAATCAGAACATTATGCTTTATATTTAAAAAAATAAATAAATAAAATAAAATAAATGAATGAATAATAACACATAAATAAAATAACATAAAAATGCCTTTTGGTGTGCTTGGTAAAGCCCCTCTGTTTCTGCATTTGCTCTATCATAAAGCTTTTGGATGTGAAGTTTTAGGAGGTCTAATAAAACTTTTAGGTATCAGGAATTTTATTAGAAATGTGGATGTTCATTCATCAGAAATATAAATGTTGCAAGATCCACAAAATCCAACTATACATCTGTGTTATAAAAGACATCATTCAGATGCCACGTTGGTTTTTATCAATTATTGGTTGAAGATTTGACCAGGGAAATTGCAACAACAGAAACTTATCAAGCTTAGCTCTGAGAAAATTCTGTTCACGAAAGAAGAAAACACTTTAGTATATCAATCAATCAATCAAAGCAGAGATAGATTAGATAGATTATTATATTCTATTCAAATCCAATCTGGCAGCTGAATCAGCACTAACATCAGGACTTAAAAAAAACTCCACCATCATATAAAAAAAACAACAAAAACGAAGAGACATACACTGTAATATGAAGAAACTTATATGTATATGTAAGTTAATTTATATAGTTAATATATTTAAGCTGAGCAGTGGCTCCAACTGCTCAATGTATCTTTCTCACTTAAACCCCTCTTACAAATTCTGGTGCAGACTCTGGGCCTACCTACATGTCTGTGTCCTGAAAACCTCCCGTGGGTTTTGTTTTTATCTAGCAATAAATATTTGTATGTTCTGTATCTCTTTTGTTTCGTCTGTGTCATTCTTCTGTTGTGAAGCTAACTGAGACCTGTTTGAGTCTTTAGGTCCTACCATATTTATTTATAAATGTTTTATAAGGCAAAAGTAGTCCTCACTTTAGATGAGGTCAAACCGAATAATTAACTAACAACTAGTAACTGCCTGAATTAACCATGAATTACAGTATGAAATGAGTATATATAAATTCTCCAGTAACACACTCACAAACAATGAGCTCATATCTTAATCATTATGTATATATAACTGTGTATCTCAATACTTAATTACTTATTTCATATATTGAATTACTTTCTGTATACTAATGCTAAGGCATTACCTATTAGTAATGAATTGCTGATACACTTACTAATACACTCATTAATGCTTAATGCCTTACTAATGTTTAATGGTGCAACATTATAAAGTGTTACGCAATATAATAATAATATTAGAAAAGATTCTATTTTATTGAATGTGCTGTCAAAAAACACAGTGAAGCTGTTTAACAGCCTTTATTAGTTTCTCTTTATTTTTCATTACATTTCCATTAGTTACCCAGTTCATTCATGTCATGTAGTAGGCAGAAAATTCTTCTGAGGCATACTAAATCCCATAAAAGACACAAAGCTGTCTATCCCATTGGCATGCCAAATGCTTTTAGCTCTGCAGCTTGGAGGCCCACCAGTCTCCTTGTGATGAAATGAACGGGACTTTTTGATCAATACCATAGACCATACATATGTATGAGTACGCGCAGAGGAGCAACCTATAAAAGCACATACCATCATTTCTCAAAGTGTTAGTACTGTTGGCAGCAAATAAACAATTCAATTCAAATTTATTTATATAGCGCCAAATCACAACAATAGTCACCTCAAGGCGCTTTATATTGTAAGCTAGATCCTACAATAACACATACAGAGAAAAACCCAACAATCAAATGACCCTATGAGCAAGCACTTTGGTGACAGTGGGAAGGAAAAACTCCCTTTTAATAGGAAGAGACCTTCAGGGGAACCAGGCTCAGGGAGGGGCGGGGCCATCTGTTGCAACCGGTTGGGGTGAGAGAAGGAAAACAGGATAGAAGACGTGTTGTGGAAGAAAGACAGAGATTAATAACAAGTATGATTCAATGCAGAGAGGTCTATTAACACATGGTGAGTGAAAAAGGTGACTGAAAAGGAAAAACTCAATGCATCTTGGGAATCCCCCAGCAGCCTACGTGTATTGCAGCATAACTAAGGGAGGATTCAGGGTCACCTGGTCCAGCCCTTAGCAAAAAGGAAAGTTTGTGTCATGATCCTGGGTCTTATGACCCAGCGTTTTGAGTTTTAGTTCATTTTGATGTTTATAGTGTATGTTTAAGCTCATTAGATTTTCTATGTTCATTTGCTTATTATATTCCCCTTGTGTTTTCAACCCTTGTGTTAAGTCTCCCTTATCCTTCATGTGTTTCATGTCTGTTTCTTGTCAAGGTCATGTAGTCATGTCAGTGTTTCATTGTTTCCTATTTTATTTTTAAAGAGGTCCTGTGCTTCTGTGTTCTGTTTTGCTCTTTCCCTGTGGGCGTTGTTATGTTCATGTTGTGTCTACTTTGCCTTTCTGTCCCATGTTTCAGGTCCCTATGTTCTGTCTCAGTTGCTGTTAAGTTTACATGTTTTGAGTTCAGTCAGTGTGTTTCCTGTTTTACTTTCACAGTCTGTCCTATGTTAATGTTTCTAGTTTTGCTTCCCTTGTCTCGTCCTGCGTTATTACTCTCCTCCTGTGGCTCATTCCCCCTCGTTATCCCTCTGTGTATTTAAGCCCCGTGTTTCTCTTTGTCAGCGTTGCGTCCTCCCTCATAGCTGTGTGATTTTCCCTGTGGCTCCTTGTGCTTTAGTTTTCCCAGTTTAGTTTTGTATTGTTTGTATTGTCCTCCTACACCAGCAATAAAGCTGTGTTTTTTGAGTTTACCTTTGTCTCTGTGAGTTTGCGTTTGGGTCCTTCCCTTGCCTGCACACAGCCGTACTGTGACAGTTTGAAGCCTAAGTAGAGATAGTGTCTGTCTCCCGAATCCAAACTGAAAGCTGGTTCCACAGAAGAGGGGCATGAAAACTGAAGGCTCTGCCTCCCATTCTACTTTTAAACACTAGGAACAACAAGTAAGCCTGCAGTGCGAGAGCGAAGTGTTCTAATAGGGTGATATGGTACTACAAGGTCCTTAAATTAAGATGGGGCCTGATTATTTAAGACATTAATACATTAAATTAATTATTTAATTAATTGAATTACAGTATTTGTTTGCTTACCAAGAGTTAGTATGCAAGTATAAGTGTGAGGCTACAAACACTAGCCTCTTTAAAAAAACATTATGACAGT